AAAAGGGTGGAGGTTGGGAGTCTTGTAGAAATACAGGGTGGTTTATTACTATTATATCAATATTTTTGCCTTTTTTACATCTCATAATATTAAAAAAAAGGGGTGGAGGTTGGGAGTTTTACAAAGGTAGAAATTTAGGGTGGCATATTTCTATTTTAAGATTATATCTAAATATTAAGGGTAACTGCCTTCTCACAACTGGCTGCAGACAGCAAAAGACAGTGGGAGTTGGGACATTGTGGGTTCAAGCACTCAGCTCCTAACCCTTAACTGATTCTCCTTCATTGCTGACATCAACATCTGGATCTTGTCTGATTGATAGTATATCCCCAAGGTGTTTGGGTACTATGGCCACAGACATTATCCATTATGACATTATTCTCGGATTTGGTATAAATTTTGTTGGTTGTTGTATGTTACACAGCAGATTATATATACCATTTTACAATACTATACAGTATTAATTGAAATTGCTTAATGACTCGACAACCAAAGACTAAGTTTACATATACAATAGCCTGAATAGGCTTAGCACTTAAATATTGTAACTTAAATTAATTAACGTTACCAATGCCAACAATTTCAACAAAGAAAAATACAAGAACTTGTTAACAATAACGCTATTGCATTAGTATTAGTCTTACAGAGCTAGTATTACTCCTAATTCTATGTATGAGTACGAGTAAGGTCCTTATGTCGAAAATTATTGAAATTTAATATTATTATTACAAAGTTTTACAAGTTACATTAATTCAAAATGTGTCAATATTTATAAAAACACATTAACAAAACGGACTTAAAATGTTAAATGACAAGAGAAAACTGACAATGCTACCTGTGATATTAATATTATCATACCATACAGTCTACATTAATGTATTACAATATACTAACTAATTATTCTTATACCACTAAAGTGTCCGTTTAAGGCAGAATCGACTGAGTTAGAACACTCTAACTTGTGTAAGTGACTGAAACTGTGTGAAAGAGACCTAACTTAAGTTCAGATCGAAATGACACTGTAAGTTGTAAAGTGTAAGAGTAACCCTTTTTTAATATTTGAGGAAATATTCATTTCAACAATAATATTAGCTGATCTTATAATTTCAACACAACGTTTGTTTATAATATAATTTACCGACCATTTTCAAAGTTTCAGCAATTTTCACAAAGCACCCTTCAGTTTCAGATTCCTTCTGGTCGTTAGCCACAAAGCCTCCCAGACTTGGTGAACGTGGAATACAAACCTCCCGCCGAAACAGCAACTCATGAACACCCTCTATTGTGCTAAAAGTTAACAAATCTCTAACCTAATATTATAAACATACACTTGAAGCATGAACTTAATCTGCCTATTATTATTTTCAACAACAACAGCTACCGGCAGCACAACTTTAAAAACAAATGGGCTACCCAATAATTCTCAAGTGAAGAAAATATGAAAACAGATTTACTTTATTTTCATCAGAACTCAACTTTAAAATTTATAGGAAACCAAAACGATTAGCATTTTGGGGAGTACGCATGTGTAGTAAAGATTCGAGATTTTGTAAAAAGTTTGTGAACTGGTTTGATTTGTTTTCAATTTCGCGCAAAGTTACTCGAGAGCTGTCTGCGCTAACCGTCCCTAATTTAACAGTGAAAGGCTAGAGGGAATGCAGCTAGCTATTACCATCCGCCGACAATTCTTGGGTACTTTTTTTTTTACCAACGAATAGTGGGATTGATCATCACAGTATAACGCTCTCACGGCTGAAAGGGCGAGCATGTTTGGTAGGACGGGGATTCAAACCCCCGAAACAAGTTTGTGAACTAAAATCACAGGAATAATCAAACCAGAAGTAAAGCTAAGTAGCCAAATCACTGTTGTGGAGGGTGAGAAAGTGATGGCTGGATATCGCATGTGCAAAAACTAACCTAATTGTTCCAACCTGGTGTCTAAAAATATTTTGTTTGTTTTGCGCAGTTTTACACAATTACCATTACCCTATGATAAACATAAAGTACAATAAAGAATAACCTATGAAAGGAAAATGGGCTATTGTTATTTCCAAGTTCAATAGTAATTGGATTTCAAAAACAAGGTGTGGTTTCAGGGTTTTAAAAGCCGAAACGATCGTTTTTCTCTCTACAGAGGAAATGAAACTGCATTTTGAATCACTCTGGGCGAAATTTAGCTCAACTTTTCGTGATTTTCATTTGTGAGTTACTTCATATAAAATATTATGGATTTAAATAACATTGTTACGTCTCTGGTCGTTTGTTAATTTCCCGTAAAAAATTCTTCCCGAGGAACTTCAGCGAAACAAGTCTTTTTTTTAAAATAAAATTTTTTTTTTCTCAATACAACTTTGCAATACACTTAATTTCCACAGTCCTTTAACTTAAACACATGCTATAATTCACAACGATTCACGCACTTTACTTGCGGTCACTACCGCTCACTTGACTCAAATATCTATCTTTATATCTGTCTATCTGCTATTATATCTCCGCTTTCTCTCTCTCTATCTATGCAATCATTTGCCGGACTTATATACAAAATAGAGGGCGTCTGGCAAACACTAGAGTTGCCAGGAGCAGTCATGATCGTTCTAGAAACTCATGACATGTTACCAGGGTCACGTGGCTTCCGCTGTCGTAACAATATTTACAAATACAATTTACATATAAATATAATCA